TGAGGCAGGAGGATCACTGCAAGTTCAAGGCCAGCCTGGACTATACAGTGAGTTCAAGGCCAGCCTGAGCTACAGAGTAAGTCTCTGTATAAAAAAAATAAATAAAAAAGAAAAAGACATTGGTATACCATGAGAACAAATAATGTACCACCCTTCACCATGAAAAAGAGATCTATAATTACAGTATAAACTCTAAAAAAAAAAAATATTGACATGCAATAAATATCTGCTAAGTGGAATAACTATACCTCCACTAACTGTAGAAAAGAATTCAACAGTAATAGCATAGAGTTAACTGTGTAAACGGTAGTAAAGCTTAGGTTTTTATACTAGTAAAGATGGAGGGAGTTGTAAAAGGGAGAATAAAGAAGTAAAATTTGAAAAACTAATCAATGGAAGATGGGAAAGAGGACAGAAAATGACATAAAAGACCCTTCTAAGGAGTAAAAGGAAATTAATAGAATTAGATAAAGGTAACAAACAAGGAAAAGAAGAAAAACATAGAGCAAAATAAAAAAAAATTAAAAGATTTTTTGAAAAAGGAAATAAACCCCAACTCTCCCGAAATCGATGAAGACCAAACAAACGCATCCAAAGAACTCTCCTCTGTATTTTTGAATAAGTGGTTTCTTTCCATGACCTGCAATCTTGGAATCCAGCAAGTCAAACTTCTCCACCTAACTTCATAGCCTTCGAGTTTGTAGGGCTCCCTCTCCGTGCTCCAGAGGCCCTCTGTCTGGGCATCCCAGGTTGTGGCAACCGTCCAAGTCAAGGCATGTCCTTGCTCACAGTGGTAAATGGGGAAATCAATCAGACCACTGATCTCTGGCCCTGGATGTAGGCAGCGATGTAGAGGTTCAAGCAGACTGCTAGCACTTTCAGACCTAGCCACCTCTGAAAGCTCTGCCTGTCATACCTGGCTCCTCACTACAGAATGTGGGGCCCAGACAGAGCTTAAACTTCCTAGGGTATCTATGTCCAGTTTGTGCCCTCTTCATGACTGTCTCTTGTGGCTGTCTCTCACCTGCTCCCTCTGTTAGGGTAACCATGGAAACCCTGAAGTGAAGTTGTTTTGTTGTCCTGTGGCTCAGCCTTAAATGATTAACCCCTTCCCAAAATGGCTCCTGATGAAACCCTGTCTAATATGGCAAGTGCAGCCCTGGGTTTCTTCTTTAACCTGCCATGTTGGAAGAATCACCTTTGGAGTAAAATGCCACACTGTTCTTGCAGTTCATGGTAATTGCGAGTCTTTCTTGGGGACTAGAGCTTGTGGCCTGGTTTGTTATTTCTCTCTGGAGCTGCTGACTTGCTCTGGGCTTACCTTCTCTCCCCACGCACTGACTTTATCCGTGATCAGGTCGACCCGTTGGTCAGTGGCTCTGCTGCCCTGTGCTGAGGGGAAACAAACCACAGAGTGGGGTTGGAGTTGGCCAGTAACTCAGAGTGAGCACAGAGTTAGCCGGGGGTGAACTCAACTCTGGTGAGTTGCAGGGTCTTGGACCCCTGGGCTGCCTCCTCTTTGCGTGAGATTTCCTGTGAATGCCAAGAGGGCAGAAACAGGATGGCAGAGAGGCATGGCAGAAGAAAAGTTCAACCATGGCAAGGAGGACACCAATAGGGAAAGGAAGGATCTGGGGTCAAGAATATACCCTTCTAGCCCAGACATGGCGCTGCATGCCTGTAGTTCCAGTACTCAGAATTGTCACAGGTTCAAGGTGGGCCAAGGCTTCATAGTGAGTTCAAAGCCAGTCTGTGACCCTATCTCAAAAGAAATGTACACCATTCCAGGGCTTGCCCCCAGTGACCGCCCCCTCCAACCAGGCCCCACCTCCTAAGAGCAAATGTAGCTACCGAGTTCACCAAAAGATGAAGCCATTGACGACTGTGGCCGTTCCAACAATCCAATCACCTTCCAGACACATGCACCTTCAGGGCCAGTTTTGAAATTAATGAAATTAAAACTTTTATTCACAAACCAGTGCACTAAGGAGAAATGACCTGGCAAGCAGTTACAATAAAATTTGAGGATGTTTAATCAGTTTGGAGATTGTATGCAATTTGCCATTTTAATTCAAAATTTAGACTTTCCAAATGGATTATATATGTTTGAGGCTTTAATGATAGACTTCTTGGGTACATGTTTGCAGTACCTGATAATTACATTCCTTGTGGGGAGTTGGTACGGGTAAATAGCATATCTCAATTCTTTTTTTCATCCCCTCTCCCTCACCTCTCCCCACTACCCTTTTTTTTTTTTTTTTTTTTGAGACAGGGTCTCCTAAGTATAAGTAGTTAAGGTTGGTCTTGAACTCACTATGTAGCCCAGGCTGGCCTTGAACTCACGAAGATCATCTTGCTTCAGCCTCCCAATTGCTAGGATTACAGGCGTGTGCCATGAGTCCCCCCATCAATTGCTCCCCTTCTCACTGAAGAAAGATCTCTCTATTTCCTACTAGCTGTCTTTTATTTTGCTCTTATATTTTGGGTTCATCATATAAGAGAAAACATGCAATATTTAAGCTTGTGTGTCTGATTTATTTCACTTAACATTATAGTCTTAAGATGCATCCATTTTACTGCAAATGACTCAACTTTACCCTTTAGGGCACAGTAGTACTCTATTATGTATAAATACCACGCTTTCTTTATGAATTCATCTGGTTTTACTGTTTTTGTTGTTTTTGAGAAAGAGTCTCACTATGTAGCCCAAGCTGGCCTCAATATCATGGCAATTCTGCCTCAGCCTCCTGAGTGCTGGAATTATAAACATGTGCCACCATGCCCGGCTCTATTCATCTGTTGATGGACATATAGGCTGTTTTGAAGATTTAGCTATTATGAATTGTACTGCTACAATTGTACCGGATATGCACGTATCACTTAATATGACTAACTCTTTTGGGAAGATACCTACAAAGGGAGAGTGCTGGGTCAAATGGAAATTCTAGTTTTCATTTTTTTGAGGAATCTCCATAATGATTTCCATAATAGTTGTAGTGGTTTACACTCCTGCCAACAATGTGGAAGAGTTCCTTCTCACAGTTTCACCAGCATTTGTTATTATTTAAGTTCTTGATAGAGCCAATCTTCCTGGGGTGAGATAGAATCTCAGTGTTTTAATTTGCATTTCTCTAATGACCAGCAATGTTGAACTTTTTTTTTATGAAATTATGAACCATTTGTAATTTTTCTTCTGAGAAGTGTATTCATTTCACTTGTCCATTTTTTGATTGGGTCTTTTATTTTAGAGGGGTTAGGTTTTTGAGTTCTTTAAGTGTGAAATGTATATATTTTAAAAAGTAGTCCTCTGAGGAATACATAACAATTTTTCCCCATTGATAGGATGTTTCCTTTGCTGTGCAGAAGCTTTTAAATTTGATATGATCCTGTCTGTTGATTCTTGGAGGTATTTCCTATGCAACCTAGGTTCCATTCAGAACAACTTGCCTGTGACTATGTGTTCAAGAGTTTTACCTACTTTATCTTTCAGCAGGCTAAGTGTTTCTGTCTTAGTATTCAGTTCTTTGATCCATTCTGATTTTAGTTTAGTACATGGTGAGAGATATAGGTCTAGATTCAAACTTCTGCATATTGGTAGCCAGTTTTCCCAGCACCATTCATTAAAGAAGCTATCTTTCCTCCCCTGTATGTCTTTCTGGGGAGGGTGCATTTAAATCTAAACCACAAGTCTTTCTAATTCATTAAATTAGCCAGGATGGGCTTAAATGTCCAATCCTCGTGCTCCAGCCTCCAAGTGCTGGAACTGCAATGGCAAGCAGAAACACCAGAATGACACCCAGGATTTGGAGGCAGATTTATGTTATGTCAATGGGCACTGATTGGGATCATTCCCAAAATATCAGGCCCTGATCCTTGGTTGTTCCAGGCTTATATGGGATAAGCAAGCAGGAAGCACAGAAGCAGAGTATTTGGCAGTTATTGGTTGGTTCTTATAATACGCATCATAGTGACCAGCCATTTCTAGGAGACAGGAATACAGGAACTGTAACAAGAACTATTACCTGGGCAACTAATAGACTGGCTGGGGGGCATTTTCTGCTACAGAACTACAGACACGTACCACTATACCTGGCTCCCTCTGTGCTTGTGGTGTCCTTTCCCATACACCCAGGTTTAGTAGCAGGGTCTGCTACTAAATGAAAAGAGTTAAAGAAAATAGAAAGTTGGCATGGTGGCACACACATGGAACCCCAACAATCTGGGAGACTGAGGCAGGAGGATCATAAATTTGAGCCCAGTCTAGGCAACTTAAATACTTAGCAAGAACTTGTCTCAAAATTTACAAAAATTTTTGAAAAAAGGACTGGATACAGTTCAGTGTAAAGGCCCTGGGCTCAATCCCTAATATCACTAGGAAAGGAAGGAAGGAAGGCAGGAAGGCAGGAAGGCAGGAAGGCAGGAAGGCAGGAAGGCAGGAAGGAAGGAAGGAAGGAAGGAAGGAAGGAAACTCACAGAAAAATGGCAGTTGATACATACAAAGGGATGATAGAATTAAGAAAATTGCCATTTTTCAACTCCAATGTAAAAACTGATTCAGGTGTGCAGCTCTGAGATTGATGCCCAGCACCAGAGAGAGAGAGAGAGAGAGAGAGAGAGAGAGAGAGAGAAGAAGAAGAAGAAGAAGAAGAAGAAGAAGAAGAAGAAGAAGAAGAAGAAGAAGAAGAAGAAGAA